GCTTCTACCAGCCCCACGAGGCGCTCAGCCGCTTTCTGGTGTCGGCGCAGCAGGAGTTCAAGATCCCCATCAGGTGGGCAGGAGCCCTCACACCCCCGGGGTACCCACGGCAGCACAGCCCGGCTCGGCCCCCCCCCCCGACTGGCAGGCCCCCCCCCCCTTTATTGGGCCGGGGGCCCTGTCCCACTGTGGATGGGCACGGCTGGCCTCCTGCGTTAGTTCTGCCAAATTTCCCCTACCCTGGGCCCTGCCCTGGCTGGTTCATGCTCCATAGATGCATCTCCAGCACAGCTCCAAGCTGCCATGGCCTCCTTCCCTCTTCCAAAATCCACATGAGCCTCATCACTGCTCAGCAGGATTATGTCCAGCCCCTACCAGCCCGTCCCTGCCTTGCTGCTGGTTAGTGCCATGAGACACCTGCTTCCCTAAGCCCTCACTTTTCCTCGCTTGGCTCGCAGGTATCTCCAGGAGTATGCAGCGCTGGGCACAGGTGGTGGCATATATCACTTCCGAGACCAGATCCTGTCAGGTGGTGCTGAGGCTTTCTTTGTCCTCAACGCAGATGTGTGCTCAGAGTTCCCCTTGCAGGAGATGCTAGCGTTCCAGCAGCGGCACGGGGATGCGGACAGCTTTGTCATTCTGGGTACCACAGTGAGTGGCAGTGTTGGGGAGCAGGGGAGCAGCAGTGCTCTGGTGGGGGCTTGTCTAGAAGCCAGCAGCTCCTGCGGTGGATGGGTCCCTGGGGTGTGAGCTCTGGGACTCATTTGCATGCCTGCTGCTCCACTGTTGCTAACATGTCCTTGTTTCACAGGCCAACAGGACACAGGCACTGAATTATGGCTGTATTGTGGCAAACACAGACACGCAGGAGGTACAGGAGGGCCTCAGGGAGATGGGCATACGTGGGCAGCAGGTTCTGCGCTGCCTGCGTGGGTGTGTGTTCCCAACATGCCACAGAGAGTGTGACACTGGCTATGGGGGCTGTGCCCCAGTATTCACAACTCTTCCCTCACCTCCAGGTCCAGCACTACGTGGAGAAGCCCAGCACATTTGTCAGTGAGATCATTAACTGTGGCATCTACCTGTTCACACCTGCCATCTTCCAGTACATCGGCGAGGTCTTCCAGAGGAACCAGCAGGAGCTAGTGCTGTGAGTGCTCCTCTCTCCCCCATGTCCCCCACTGCTTCCGGGGCTGCAGCAGCACGCTCATCTTCCATTCTTTCTCTGTCTTCTCTCCTCCTCTGCCATCACTCACTTGTTTCCTGGTCCTGTACCAGCTGTCCTTACCTTGGGTAAGTCTTCCTCTGTGTCTGCAGTAACTGCTTTCCAAGCTGAATTGTTCCTAGCAATAATGCATGCTTTCCTCCCTGCTCCAGGCTGCTCTGCAAGGCTGTTCTTTTCCTCTGCTCCCCTCCTGACCAGCTTGAGACTCTCCCTCTCCTTTCCTCTCCTCTCACCCCATCCTCATCCAGATCTGAACAAGGGGCTGAGCAAACCTTTCACCTGGGGATGCTCCACTCCCCTTCCAGCTCTCTGCAGCAGCTCGCCTGTCACCTGGCATCTCTACCACCACCCAAGCAAAAATTCAGCTGTACAGGGCCCTGGAGTGGGGATAGGATCCATTGCTCATACACCCACCTGGACTGGGTGGGGCTCTTGGACTGTCACTTACTGGCTGAAAGCTTGTTTCAGCTGGCAGAGCCCTATCCCTCTGCCACTCCGGGGCTCAGCAGGGCTGGGCAGGCCCAGCCTGACAGCTGGGGCTGTCCCCATCTCTGGGAAGAAATGCATGGCTAGGAAGGAGTCCAGGATCACCAGACCTCCCAGATTTGGGGAGGGTAGCTGCTGGGGACCCTGGCTGAGGCAGTGACTGGGGTGGGTGTCTAACAGGCCTCTCGCTTGCAGGGAGGAGAGCTCCAATGGCTGGCAACGTGCAGAAGTGATCCGGCTAGAGCAGGATGTTTTCACGGCACTGGCTGGGAAAGGCAAACTCTATGTCTACAAAACTGATGGCTTCTGGAGCCAGATCAAGTCAGCTGGGTAAGGTCTGGAGCTAGAGCTGGTGCAGCAGTGATCCTTACCTGGGATGGCAGAGGAGGGTGCCTAGGCAGGGCCCTGGGGGTGGGTGTGGACGTGCTGAATTCAGACTCTCCTCTGCCCTGGTAGTGCTGGAGAGGCAATAACAACCTTTTGCTTTTCCTCTCCCAGCTCTGCTATCTATGCCAGCCGCCTTTACCTGAACCAGTACAGCAAAACCCACCCTGAGAGACTGGCCCAGAACAAACCTGGAGGCCCTATCATCCGAGGTACCCCTCTGACACCACCTGCTGCCTTGGGAGGCAGTGGGACCTGCCGACAGATCTGGGAGGGTGGTGCTGCTGCAAGCTGCCTCTCCTGATGCAGCTGCCTTGTGTTGTAGGGAATGTGTACATCCACCCAACGGCCTCTATTGACAGCAGTGCGGTGGTGAGTGCAGGACTGGGGGACCCTGCGGCAGGGCAATGCTCAGGGGTGCTGTGGGGGCCATTGTGTTTGACCTCATCACCTTCTGTCCCCATAGCTGGGCCCCAATGTGTCCATTGGGGAGGGGGTGACAGTGGGAGCTGGTGTGCGCTTGCGAGAGTCCATTGTCCTGCATGGTGCCTCGCTCCACGTAAGTAGGGTTTGCGTGAGGGTATGGGCATCAAACCCTGGCCCTTGCAGGGAGGCAGCAGCACCCTCCATCCCCCTCTCCTTCGCCCCAGGACCACACCTGTGTCCTCAATACCATCGTGGGCTGGGACAGCACCATTGGGCGCTGGGCCCGGGTTGAGGGAACTCCCAGTGACCCCAACCCCAACGATCCCTATGCCAAGATTGACAGCGAGACCCTCTTCCGGGACGGGCGCCTCACACCCTCCATCACAATCCTGGGTACGTCCCACCCACCCTGGCCCTGCACAGTGGGGCAGAATCTTTCCCCTTCTGCTCACCCCTTCACGCTCTCCCCACAGGCTGCAGTGTCACCATCCCCGCTGAGGTGGTTATTCTCAACTCCATCGTCCTTCCTCACAAGGAGCTAAGTCGCAGCTACAAGAACCAGATTATCCTGTGAGTCAGCAGGTCGCTGAGTTGGGGGGGGCCAGGGCAAGCCCCCAACTCCCAGCTGTGCCCCACAGCAAGAGCCTATGCTGGGGCTTCACCTCCCAGGAGGTTCCCAGCAACCCCAGAGGGTAGGTACAGGCCAGGAGCTCTGCAAGTGCCTGATTCCCACTCCAGACAGACATTAAAGCTGGTGAGCGTCGGCCTCGCATGCTGCTTCTCTTGAAGCCCAGGGACCAGCCCTGGGGTGGGGCAAAGGTTTCGGGGACAGTATGTGGCCCTGGCACCAGGCTGCATGCCTGTGCAGGGAGAGCTGGGCTGAGGCTGTTGAGGGAGCATTTGCTGCCTGATGCTCTCTTGGCTCCAGCATTGGGTGTTCCTCCACCAAAGGGCACTACAAGCACTATCTTGCCACCCCTCACCAGGCTCTCCCTGTATCCGTTTCTGTCTGCAACTCCCAGGAAGGTCTTGGCCTATCTCAGAGGCTGGGGAGCTCTGAATGTGCCTGTCCTGCATAGGCAGCTTACCCTGCAGGAGCCAGGTGGGAGGATCCCAGTTTCAGTAGTGTGGTTGCTGGGCTCCTGCCTACCTCTAGGAAGAGTGGCACCAGGCTGTCGTGGGGGTACTGGCACACCAGGAGTGGGTTGGGCAGGCAGGCTGCTGGCCCTGGAGGGAGCTGCAAAAGCCCCCCTTTCCTCAGCACCACCTCTGCCCCCAAGGGCGTGGTATGAGCCAGGAGCGCTGCCAGCCCTGCTGAGCTTGGTACCATCAGGCTCAGACCCGCACAGACTCTCTAGGCAGGGCTCAGGGTGATGGCAGCAGGCTCCCGCCACCTCGGTGGGCCAACAGCCTCCTCTCCATCAGCATGGCTGTAGCCTAGGGGGGCTTGGTGCATGTCTCCTCTCACACCAGCCATGGCCACAGGGCACCAGAGCAATCAAACTCACATGTGTGCAGGTGGCAGAGATCTACTGCCTCGCTCTGTCTCAAAAACCCCATTTTTATTGAAGCCAGCTCCCTGGTGATGGGAGCAGTCTGTTTATGGTAACTAAGGCTGCCCTTTATCCACTTACCTCCCCGTCTTCTCCTCTGGTTTTGGAGCTCTGTGCTAAAGCCCTGCACTCCACTGAAGGCCCCATCATGCCTCTCACCTTCAGCGAGGCACTGCATTACGGATTCTCCATCCATCCAGTACCACCCCAGCTCAGTGGATTTGCTGCAAATCCTTGTTCCAGCCTTGTGCCTTCCTGTGCGAGTTCTCCTGTGGTCCTGGGCAGGGATTAGCTGTTCACTGGTTTTAAGCACATTAAACTCCTTCAGTTTTGCCTCTGCCTTGGATGTGCTAATTTTCTTGCCTGCTGGCGAACACCCCTGTGCTGGGGGAAACTGAGCCAAAGTACTTGCTTTCAGGATTGTACATGAATTTTTCTCCCGCATCTCACATCTGGCCTAGGTTTTAGTATGGACAAAGAGTTCTCCGCTGCTGGACGTGGCCCTGGGGCAGTTCGCAGCCCTGTTGTGTAAGGCTCCTTTTCCCTAAGATCCCCTTGTAGCAGCCATCCCTTGTGCAGTTATCTGGGGAAAAGCCCTTCCCAGCCCTTGCTCCGGCACAGCCTCAGCCAG